GGAGGAGTAGCCATGAGGATCCTTTCTAGGTGTTAACCTGATATAAAGAACCCGCTCTGATACCAATTGATAGAATATAAAGGTCCACCAAACTCTAAAGAGAACCAAGTTCTCTATTAGTTCCACTGGAACACACGCACACAGCAGTAGGTAAATGACAAGAGGAATTTTACGTGGAAAATTCCCAGCTCAATGGGATTAAAAACCACGACCTACCTTTGTAGGATTTCAACTTCACTACTGAACAATTTTTAGATTACAACCTATGCAACCTAGGAATTAATCTCTTAATCAGTTACTAACTTGTAACACACCTATTACAAGCCACTTTGTAATACCTCTATTACAAAGACTTCACAACTCGACTAACTCTAGCCAAGACTCAAACACAAAGGTTTAAGGTTTACAAAGGGTGTCCTACACACTGCTTCTTAGTAAGCTAAGTAGGAGTTACAAGTAAGAACATTAACAAAGTTACAACTCAACTAAGGACATATAATAACTTGATGGGGGAATTGGTTCGTAGTTGTTTTGTTCTTTGTTCTTGAAGCACTTGAGAATTGCTCGCTGGATGATCGCGTGAGAGAGGTTGAGTGAAATCTCTAAGTGTTCAAGTAATTGTTTTACCTTCCTTGATGTTAATAATACATGTGTAACATCACTTACAATGATGTAAGCAAGGTAGGTAAAAAGCATTCCACAGAAAGTTGACTACTGCACTATTCCTGTATTGTAGCGTGTGCAGATAACAACCTTTTCATCTGGAGAGTTGACTTTGTACAGTCACCTCGGGAGCTGGTAGGGACCTGTTCCCTCAGCTGTTCCTTCTACTCTGAAGAGTTAAACCATATCCCAAGCTGGAACCTTGAGATCTTAAGGTCTTGAGAATGTGTAACATGTTCCCTATCTGGTTATTGATAGTAAGTTTGTTAGATCATCAAAACATAAAACAAAGTACTTATGACAAAGATACTTGTAACCTATCAACTATGCTAAAAAACTTCAAACCAATAGGGCTTTGTAACACCATCTACAAGACCATCACTAAGATCATTGTCAATAGGATCAAGCCCCTTCTCCCTACTATGATTGGCCTTAGCCATGCCAGTTTCCTATCTAATAGAAGGGCCTCAGACAATGCCATCATTGTCCAAGAATACATCACCCGTTTTGGGAAAATAAAAGGGAACTAGGGCCATGTGATTCTCAAAATTGATTTAGAAAAAGCCTTTGACAAGCTGGAGTGGTCCTTCATTAGAGACACTGCATGCCTTCAACTTACCACCTGGGCTAGCTAAGTTAATCATATCCCGTATTAGCTCATCAAACATCTTCATCCTAGTGAATGGTGGCAAAACTGACACCTTCAGGCCTTCTAGGGGTATCAGGCAAGGGGACCCAATCTCCCCTTACTTGTTCATTATGTGCATGGAGAGGCTCTCCAGGTCAATTGATAAAGTTGTTCAGGATAAACAATGGCTTCCTATTAGTATCAGTAGGTCTGGCCCAAAGATCTCTCATCTTTTATTTGTTGATGACCTTACATTGTTTGCAAAGGCAAACATTAGGAACTGCAACACAATCTACTCTATCATGCAGTCCTTAAATGAGGCTTGTGGGCGAAAAATCAATTTCACCAAGTCCGGGGTTCTCTTTTACTCTAACACAAAGCCTGATACAATGGAAAGCCTCACAAATACCCTTTCAATCCAGTTACTACATCCTTTGGTAAGTACCTCGGGTTCTCTATGTTCCATAGGAGACCCACCAATAGTGACTTCCAGTTCATACTAGACAATATGCAATCCAAACTAGCTGGTTGGAAAATAAATTATCTAAATATGACTGGAAGAATCATCCTTGCCAAAGCCTCCCTCGGCAGCATCCCAAGCCATGTTATGCAATACATCAAATTGTACACTAAGACTACCAACCAAATTGATAGAATCCAGAGGAACTTTATCTGGGGCACCACTCCAAACAAGAAAAAAAATGCACTTGGTTAGTTGGGACAAAGTCACAAGGCAGAAGTCTCATGGTGGGCTGAGTTTGCAGAAAGCTGAGTATACGAATAAAGGCTTTCATGCTGGGCTGGCCTGGAGGATTTACCATAACACCTCCAGCTTATGGTCTAGAGTCCTAATCTCAAAGCAGTGTAACTGGAACCATACCCCCAAGAAGCCCAAGTCTCCAATCTGTCAATGCATGCTCAAAGGCTGGGATACATGCAACAAGGCCAGTAGATGGATTGTCCACAAGGGAAATAGGATGAGCTTCATCAATTATGCCTGGATCCCAAATCAACCGGTAATTAGGGACATGATTGAGGGTCCATTAACCCCAAATGACATGACCACCAAAGTGGACACTAACTACAATGCAGGAAACTGAGATACCTCATCCATCTCCATAGATATCTTTGAGAACATCACCAACTTAATCAAATCAACCTCCATCCCTACTAACTCTGCCAAGGAAGACAGGCTAATATGGGGGTTGACTCCAAATGGGTCTTTCACCACCAAATCAGCATATACCCTCCTTAGAAATAATAATAAGAATCAGTTGAATGAGGAGGAAGGTAACTTCAATTGGATTTGGAGGTTAAAATTTCCTAACAAAATAAAAAAACTTCATCTGGCTGCTTGCACAGGACGGGCAGGACAGGCTACTCAGTGGAGCCTTCCTGCACAAAATTAGGGTTAATTGCAACCCTGAATGTTATTTCTGCAACAATGCTTGAAACCAGTGACCACCATCTTCTTTCAATGCCCCAATGCAACCCAATTCTGGCATGAACTAATAGCTAAGGGAACTACTGAAAGACAGCATTTGAATCCCATCGTATCAGTTTGGCCAACCACCTGGAACAAGCTAAAGAAGTTGTCCTTTAACAATGTTATCCCCTAGGAAAACATCCTTCCCTTTTGCTTCTGCCATATCTGACTAGCAAGAAATCACAACCTTTTAAATAATAAGAAAGATAACATCTCGGCAAAAAACACCATCTCCAAAGCAACCGAGTACTATTTGTTGGCGCTAAAAGGTATTACCAGGAAACCATTCCATACCAGAGTCAAATGGGAGCCCTGCATGAGAGGGCACTGTAAACTCAACACGGATGGGGCAGCCAAGGGCAACCCAGGCATTGGGGGAATTGGTGGGGTATCGTAGAATCATAATGAGGAATGGATTATAGGGTATATGAAAAACATACCTTACACCACCAACACTGTGGCAGAACTAAAATCAATGCTAAATGGTCTCCAAATAACATAACAAAATGGATGGGTTCCTTTAGACATAGCTCAGATTCGGTTGAAGTAATAAAAATGCTACTCACAGGTAATATAACTTATGATCCTATGATTTGTGAATGCAGGTTATTGATACAAATGATGGACAGGGTGGTGGTGAGACACAGCTACAAGGAGCAGAATAGAGCACTGGCAAAGGAGGCAGCAAATTCTAATTTTTTGGTAGAACTACCATGTTAGCAATTCCTCCGATGTTTGCAAATGATGTATTTTGGGCAGACATCCTAGGAACTGAAGTAGTTAGGAATTTTTTGGCATGTATTATTGATACAATTGAACAAAACGTGGATGTTTTATGGGAACTGCAGTACCCCCAAAAGTAGAAAAACCGCTTCTGCTGCTGCTCAAAAGCACTTTTTCATCTTGGCCAAACATCTCAGTTTTTCAATAAGTACTTTTTTGAGCAATAAAAAGTACTTTTAACCTCCAAGAAGCTTGGCCAAACAGGCTCTAAGTTGGGATCCTGTAGTAAATATAGAGAGCTTTTAGTATTTTTTTACTTTTGGATATATTACACAAAAACAATCCAATGTTTGTCTTTCTAAGAATTTATTTTCCTTGTCGTAGTTCATATTCAAGTTGGAAAAATTCTTCTTTTTCTTCTTATTGTGGAAACGGAGTAAAAGAACAAACCATCCACACTTTTCTAGACCCTTTTTTTTTGTGAAAGGATAGTGGGTAGCGCTTAGCGCTTATCTTTCCTCCCAGACTACTTTACTCACTGGAAATCATTTCATGTACAGGAACTGGGGAAAAAAAGGGCTTGAACTATTTCATATAATATTGGCGTGAAATAAATTTAAAGTGAAACAGATTAATGAAGAGTTATATAATCGATCATAACTTGTTTGGGATAGAGACTTTGTTGTTTTTATAGTATTAGTTAAGAAACATACATGTTCTTTAGAGATTGTTAATAACTTCATTTCTTTTTTTGGAAAGAGAAGGTATGTCAAATAGTATAGTTTTTGGGCAAGGATCACTTTTAGCAGACGGCCGAAACTTTTTTATTTCCGATAGTCATAAAAGTGTATAAAATTTATGTTTTTTTTGTATATAACATACAAAAATGTAAAAATGTATAAAAAATATATAATTTTTCAGTTATTATTTTAAGAATGGCCATACAGTGACATTTTCCCATAACTTTTTACCTAGTTATTGGATCAATATATATTTTTTTCTTTTTCAGAAAAAGAATCAATATATCTTACACCTCTATATTTTTTAACAAGGTTCTAGCACGATTTAATTATATTTATCTGTTTGCAAAGTGGAAAAATGAGAAAACGCCACTAGGGAAAATATCTACTTTTGCAAAAAATGAAAAATTGTCCACAAAAATTTTCACATGTTTTTGAAACAAATGCCACCCTCAGTCGATGGATATTTCTTGTTCAATCTTACTTTCTTAAGTTCAGAAGTCAATATATTTTTCTCATACTAGAACTTAGATATTTATAGTGAATATTCGCTAAGAATAGTAACTTCCAGTCATGTCCTCGTAGTCTTTTTCCTTTTTTCTCTTGCCTCTATCTTGTCATGAAAATACAGAAGAACACTTGCCTAAGTTCAAAAAGCTCCAAATGATTTCTTCCCATTCTGTCTAAATTTTGATGGATAGAATTATCCGACACCAACGCTGGTGGAATATAACAGATACAAGATTAAGTAATCGAGATATGCGCAAGATGACCCAAACACTATCGTTATATATAAAAGAAAAAGTGAGTAGAGATTTGTAATGTTCTCCATCAAACATGCTATAACATAGTAAGTCATCTTATACTCTAACAATACCATTTAGAACTAGAAAATAGCAGCTTCATGGATAGAAGGATTTCAAAGGAGGTAACGGGTTCGAGCCGCGGAAACAACCTCTTGCAGAAATGTAAGGTAAGACTGCGTACAATAGACCCTTATGGTCAGGCCCTTCCCCGGACTCCGTGCATAGCGGAAGCTTAGTGCACCAGGCTGCCCAATCTCCCAATTTAAAGATAAAACATTGTCTGCATAAATTAATGAACATGGAAATAAAACTATAATGATGACAACACAATGGCACAAAATTCAGTTTCAAGGAAAAGAATATTGGATTGCGTCGCATGAGAAACTCTCAAAAACGTTCCAAGGATATCGAACTCTCCATCAACTACCTTGGCGTCGCATGAGAAACTTTGAAAAATGTTCCAACGATATCACACTCTCCAGTCTCCATCAACTACCCCCCAACCACTTGGGGAAGGAAATTTTACATTACCTCCTTAGCAGCTTCAATACATCGCCAACAAGATGCAATGAACCAGTGACAAGAACCTGGAATAAGAAGTATATAATGCTTTAGCTATCAAGGTGGTGTCACAAATTTGATTGTTCCAGCTCCAATAAGTGTGCATTTGTGATGAAATATCATCTTCACTACAAATACTCATCAGGAAAATCAATGTCCTAGGTTTCATCTATGGGAAGTACATAGTAAAATAACATGTGGAGTAAGTAATAACCGGCATAACCATGACATTATCTTCCATCAGGAGCCGTAGGTGACATTTATGATCGAGTTGGTTGTCACTCGTCATGTTTCATATAGGTCTAGTTGTAGGACGATTTTTTCGAGTTATCTCAAGGCAAATCGAGATAAAGCATTCATCTCTATAAACTTGTAACTCTAGCATCTTCACTTGCAAATAAATTATGATGTCATCTATTAATAGGATATATGAAAACCTCTGAAGTCTAATGCAAGTAGGTTTATTATGTATGTCAGAAACAGTTATAATGTATGTGATATTCCAGCAGTATTATGTACCTGAAGTCTAAGGGAAGGGTTTTCTCTAACACAATCCCTCAACCAATTTATGGTCAATGGTAATGAAGGAAAAACCGCACTACAAGTAAAATATCCATCTTCTGGACCACAACGAGAAGCCTCTTTATAAAGAAATTCATGGGGTGGTACGCCTACTGAGGCGTTTATCTTGAGATTCTGATCAAGAACATCTGCATTAGACAGGAAGATACATGAGGTTCTATATGGATAAGCACTGCAAAGCTTTGAAAGCTAAACATTCAGGAGGATACTAAACCAAGAAACAAACCATGGTGTCAAGTTGGAAAGGTTGATCACTTCCAAACATATATTTCTTACTTAAGTGACAATGCCCTAAGATTAAAATTGGAGTTCTCACGCCTCTCGTTATCGAATTTCAAAGGCTACTATACACTGCTTAGGCAACAGCTACTGCAGATTAGAAACCTATTTGAGCGAAGACAACCAAAATATCGAAGTAACAAAATTAACAGAACCTGTTACATCAAAAGTCTCTTTATCAAACTTAAGCGGAGTCTTCTTTTTAGGGATATGTTTCAGATGCACTCTGCTTTAGTCAGCTATTCAAGACGGACGATAATCTTGCTCTAGAGAAAAGCAGGCTACATAAGATTTAAGAGAAAAAAAGTAAGAGAAGCCAGTTACCAAGGAACAGGCAGAAGTTACCTTTGCCATGAATGATTTTCTCCCAAATTCTCTGAAGGTTAAACTGCCACGACAAATCCTTTCCAGGGATATATGAGGGAATAGCAGAGGTAGCAGAAGTAACCTTGGTATATGCCGAAATGCTTGGCACAAAAATAGCTTTTGAGAAGTAAATACCTGCAGAAGAAAACATTCATATTGCCCAATTATCACTTTTCAATAAAACCTCCTTTCATTTAACAAGAGAAAGAGATTTAAATGAGACAACAAAGGATTTTCTGTGATTTTCCTTGAACTAGACGGACAAGGTGTCCGGGCACATTCTATAACTATACATAATTCCACCATATGATGGTAAACATCAAGCAAGTCAATATAGTGTTACTGTGAACTTAGATTCTATCGAAGAAATTAACTTTGAGCGACCAATCAATCATTTAACTTGTTTATGGTGTGCGATGAACAAAGGTTTGGTTCATGGTATAAAGAGTAAGTGTAACATAGGAGGAGCATTTATGGTAGTCAGTTGTGCCATCTTTTCTTAGTCTCAAAGAATCCATATGGATGCAATTCCCAGTCTGCAGAGATAAACATCAATGACAAGTTGACAACAACAGATTGCTGCATGATTATCTTGTTTACTACCTGATGATGCACAGGTATTGACAAGCTTAGGAAGAAGAATTTGAGGATCTCTTGCATCCATACAGTTGAATAACAAAATCTGCAGTAGAGAAACCATCTTATTCATAAAGCATGTCACACCACAAAGACAAGAAGCAGAGGAAGAAAAACACATAACATAAAGATTTATCAAATGCAAATGAACTGAATATCATGTATCAATATGAGAGCTCTTTTACCCGCTTTGGTATTTCGTCCGGATCCTTGTTATTACAAGGTTTGATGTAACCGTTTGTCCGGGCTCTCTCCATTTTATTGTCTTTTGAAGTAACTGATGAAAGTGACATGTCTTTTCTTTCTACCACAGAAGCAGAAAACCATCTCGCACAAGCATCCATGCTCTCAGGACTATGAGCTCCATCTAGGTAGAAGGTAAGATCTCCTGACAACCTTTTATTTCCTCCAGATGCGTTGATCAGAGGGTCAGCAACAATCTGACCCCTGCCAGAAAGACGTGCAGCTGAAAGACCCTTCAGGAATTCCTCTGGTAGACCATCTTTCTCATATGCCTGTTTGATGCCAAGAAAAGGTCGAGCAGTGTGATAATAGAGCCAAAGAACATAAGAGTAAAAGAAGTGTGGATCACTCTTCTTAAGCCACATTGAATAATGAAATCCTCTTCCATATGTTACCATCTCCAAAAAAAAGAAATCCCCTTCCATTGCATATCAAGATGAGATACAGTAACACTTTTTTTTGATAAGGTAATAAAATTTCATTAATGAAGGGCATAAATACCCGTAATTTCTAGACTGCAATATAGATCAAAAAACCACATTTTTCATAATCAAAATGAAGGTTAAGTTTATCATAAACAAATAAAATTCAACATGACAGGCTTTACGTAATATTAACACCTGACTGGAAAGAAATCATGAACATTAATATCCGTTGAGACATTTAAAAGTGATTACCATATGCACAGACTAATACAAGAGGAAAGAATAAAGAGAGTACCAACATCTTCAAACAGCCTTTTCCAGTTTCCTGTACTTCTAAGCCAACTTTTACAAAGGGATACAGCAAGGGCAGCATTAGTGAGTTGGTGATCACCAGACAAGCTTAGCCTTGTTCCATTTAACTTTTCCAAGGTTAGTGGTGGGACAACTTGCAGCGAAACCTGCATGGACAGATAGATAATAGTCAGAAATTTCTCAGTACACACACCGTAGTTAGTGGTGCTTGCATGGAAAGAAAAGATAGTAGTCAGAATTTTGGGTATAACTACATAAAATGAGTTACATGATGATGGTCGATAAACTAATAGCTTATCCACATCTTTCCAGGGACTATATGACTGTTTTCTGCATCTAGTTTTGATTTGTTTGCCCATGCAGAGCATATTTATGTGCATGAAAATGAAACTTTGGCACCAATAGAAACACTCTCAAGGTAAGTGAAACTTGCTTGCCATCGGATACATATAATATTGCATCCAATCCAAACAGAGAGGATAGTAGTGAATAATTAAAGTATACTCACATGCAACGTAGTTACTTGATGATGGCCAACAAACTAATATCTTTTGAAGATCATTACTGAGAGTATATGTGTCTGTTTTCTACATCTAATTTTGATTTGTATACCCATGTAGAGTATGTCTACATGCAAGGAAACCAAAATTCTGGTGCCTATAGAAACACTAATGAAACTTCTTGCCATGGAATACAAATGTTATATCATCTGGTCCAGTAATTTCATAGAGTTTTTTCGTGGAGTAATACCTTTTTCGCCAGAAATCTATTGCTACAGTCGTTTTACAATCTTTTCAGAAAATAATAATTATCATTTGGATGAAAAAAGAAGAACGATCATTTGAAAAATACATTTAAGAATAGTCACCTATTGGATTGGCGATTTGATCCTTTATTTCACAATTTGTTGAAATTATGCTTAAAAGAAGATAAGATAGCAACTACAAGATTTTAAAGTTCTACACCACTGTAACTCCTAATTCAAATACTTATGTGCTCAAGCTCCACCCAAATCCAAAATTGAAGCCACTTAAGCAAGATGCAAGTTATGGAGGCATAGGTGTACATAACTATAACTTTGAAACAAATGCAAATTAAATGCTTAAATTGCTTTTTTAAAGTCAGACTTCTACTTATAGTCACTTTTTCAGATCATGATTCTTCTGTCCATGGAATATTTTAGACCAGTTCAAATTACAGGATTATGGGTAAAGAAAATATAGCATTAAGAAAAACTGCCTGTATGTGTAAGTAATTTATTTGAGTTTCGCCAAAAAGGGTGCGATCCCAGGCACATGATTTTATAGGTAAATAAACATTAGTCACTAGTCTTATGAATCCAAGAGGTGATGTTACAGTAGATTACCTTCAACTCTTTGGCCCTTTCTTGAAGAACTTCCATTGCGTCAGAAAGTTGCAGCACACTGAATGCAGGAACTTGAGGCTTCACGAGCAGGAACACCAATCCAATTCAGAAAAATACTTCATAATATAACTGCGGCTCAAGATATGGGCAGGAACTTTGCGATAAACAATCCACTATAAGAAAAAACTATCATACACTTACGAAATTGCACAAAACTAAGTACCTTAAGAATTCCGGCCTTGTGAGAAGCAATCTGGCCTAGTGTATCTCCTACACATCATAGTTGGCAGACAAACAAGTCATATCAAAAGGTTTTCTAGTAGCCATCCGGATAAGATTTTTGTTCTTGCATCAAAAAGAAGAATTTTTTTGACACTTGATGCAAATTGAAGAGCTAATGGAGCATCCGTCTCCCGCCAAATTAAAGAATGTGCCATATGAATTTGTTTGAATAAAACATCGTTTGTAGATACGTCTAAAGAGTTTAGATAGTTAAGTAGTTATACTTGATGATAATATTAGTCTCTCAAGAATACAAGCTATGTGGAATGTAGAATGGTACTAAAAAGTGATTCATGCTCAAGACATATGTTGAAGATATAATTTAAGAAAATAGAAGTGTGTCAACCTCTTCTCCTTGTTTTCTTATTTCTTCTTTATTTTATTTATCAGGTCTTTGTTTTCTTATTTCTCACAAAATCTTTGCATAGAAAGCAACAAACGCACCTAAAGTTTCCATGTGATCCATACCCAGAGAAGTAATACCACAGACAACAGGTTCCTTAATCTGCAAAATTGTTTCATCAAGTAATTCCACGGTCATTCAATGCCAAGGCTCAATATATTATTTCCCAACAAAAGAGCAGAAAAGATTTCTCCAACGTCTATGCTACCTTGCATATTTTATATGTAGGAGCAACATGATCAATACACGATAAGATGCATTACCACATTCGTAGAATCCAACTTTCCTCCAAGGCCAACTTCAATGATGGCAACATCAACCTGTGAAGGTATAGTAAGTCTTGTTACATAATTGTTGAGGTTCACTTGTTTTGCTCTTGTTGGGAAAACCAAACATAGGCTACAGACTTTGAGATGCAACTGAGAATAAAGTTATCAACTATCTGACTCAAAAAAGAAGTAAATCACTCAATAGTTTTTCTCACATTTGTTAATGAATGTTTTCTTTACCTATCAAAGAAAGAGTAATCCTTTCTTCTCCTGCTTAAGACTTTTAGATATAAATTAATTCCATGGCACTACTCATCAATAACGGGTAGCCTGGTCCACTAAACTCCCGTTATTCACGGGCTCCTCGTAAGGACCGGAACACATTGGGTTTATTGTAAGCAGTCTTATCTTGCATTTTTGCGAGAGGCTACTTCGATGGCTTGAACATGTGACCTCCCGGCCATACAGTGACAACTGCCATAGTAAAGCCTAATTTATTTGGTTGGGAAGAATAGGACTTTGGACTCCAAGCCTACCCTACCCGGAGAAAAGATTCAGCTATTAATGGAGCATTTTGTTGATACTACCAGCCTTCTCCCCTTCATTAGCATTTAGCATTATTTATCAATAAAAAGAAAAGTTTATTCAGTTTTTTTATAAGTTTTAATTCAATAGTTCTTTAACACCACAGAGGTAATAGAAAAATCATAATACATATTCGATTTACAAAGTGCCAGAAATGGCACAATTTGGTCCCAAACAGAACCAAGACCTGTATGTAACCTGTTTGCTAATGAAATTAGATAGAAATTTGAAGATATTGAAACAATTGTATGATTAATCCCATAGCATTTCAAAGCTTGAAGTACTTGTGATATAAACTTATACTTTGGTCATCCCTAACACTATCACGAAGGCTTATGAAAATCATCGAAAAATTTAAAAAGGAATTGTATATTCTAAATAGCACAGTAATCACTAATCAGTGCAAGGGTAATCATTACATGATGAGGATACAATGCCTTGTCAAAGTCAAGATTTCTGAGGAACTATATCCAATCCGAAAGTCAAGGTCAGTGGATAACTTAGTCTTATTATTTCAGTAATTTTGTTCCAAGAACTGGTTTCTATGGCCGGTTTTTTTTGGGGGGGGGGGGGGGGGGGGGGGGTTGAAAGGGTTGGCTTTCCTATGGCTATGACTTTTGGAGGGCTGGTTTTCCAATCAGTATGAGAATATGGTAATGCCACCAGACTCGAACAGTAGACAACTTCCAAGCACATCTTAAAAAAGAGAAGATAACAGCAGAATCCAAATCAAACCACAGCTATGAAACTTCAAATCACGCAGTGCGGCATATCCAGATCAAGCAAAATAGAAGGAATAGATCTCTACCTTCTCGCTCACAAAAATTTTAAAAGCCAACACAGTAAGGAACTGGAAGAGAGGAGGCATAGGTAAGTCTTCAGAGATGTTTGCCTGCAAATTAACTTTTCTGGAATCAGTAAAAATCCACCATCATAGATTTTACTAAATGCAGATTACTTCAACTAACAGTAAAAAGTTTCAGATGATGTGCCAAATCATATTTTACTCTCATCCAATACAAACCATTAAAACAAACTAAAAAGAATTTGCTATCATGAGCTTAAAGTAAATTATGTATGCTTATGTCAGACAGTATATATCAAAGAACGATGAAGTCGAGAGATGTCTGATCAGTGATAGCAAATGAAGGATTCCAACTAAAAAGTGAACCAGTAAAGTTTAAAAGATTTAGATATCTCCAGTAGTAACATGATCAGTTCAAGTTTGCTGTAACTAGTGTAATCCCACTGCAAGGCTGAATCATAAATTAAAAAAAAACTTCATTTTAAACCAGAAAAATTACTTAAGACTACATGAATGTGTAAAAGAGAACCAACTGAGATGTAGTCAAGGTAAGTCGGAAAATCCACTAGCATAATTAGATAGGGGCATCGTGTCATCCAGCACAGAACCGAAATGAAAGAACACCTTGAGCTGATTCCAACAACCCCAAAAGTATTGCAGAAATTTTTCCTGGCATATGTCCATCCTAAGCAAGAATGAGAATCTTCGTCAGTAATTTAACTACAATCAAATAAAGGAAAGGCATCAATCACATAAAGAAAACCTATTAAAAGCAATGAAGCTCAACTTGAAATTTGAGTAGGGACCCCTTGTGTGCTTCAAGATATACTAAGAAGCACGTTAAAATCAACAGGGCATTAAGTTATTCCCTATCTGTTGATTCTGTTCTACAAAAACCTCATTGGGCTCAGTTAGTAGGATGAAAGGAAAACTAGGGATAGGAACATGCAAAACATTGGCTTTTTACTCCTTTCTGAAAAGTGAAATGAGAGTGGAAAATTAGATCGGTTACCTAACGTCATCTACATGGTTGGCGAGAAAGTATCGAAGTCATTGAAAAGGAAAACACTGAAATCCTCCCGGATACACAGTGCAACACCAGATTCCTCCGAAAAAAAATCCCATTTTCAAGTGAACAAACTCGCTTCCATCATTAAGTTTTCTTCCATATCTTTTCTTCTCATCCAACTTTTCAATACACAGAATCCCCTCCTCCCCCACCCCCCACCCCACCCCCCGATGTAGCACGAACACTGAAGATGCTCTAATGTACAAAAGTAGGGAAAACAAAGTAACAAGAATGCATACCCATCAAGGCGATATCTTTCTCTAACATCGATCAAATGAGGGGAAGTAAAAAGTCCTGTTTTGAAACCGCACTCCCGTAAAACTGCTTCACAGAAGGCACATGTTGAACCCTGAAACGAATTACGGAAATGAAGAGACAGTAAAGGAATGACACTAGAGAATTCCTGCTCTTTGGAAATATCAATTATTGAATCAAATAAGACATGGGATTAATTATCCAATTAAAAGAACACCAAAAGTCATAACTTCTTTAGAAAAGCTTTTCCATTCTGCATTTGTTCTGAGCTACAAGTGAATCTTAGATGCTGGACAATTACAGCCAATTAGTAGAAAATGTTAGAGCCCCACATTGGTTGAGGCCCTGAGGTCACAGACTGTAGTCTCTTTATACAGTCATGGACAATCCTCAACTCAGGAATTAACTTTAGATTTAAGTTAAGCCCGAAGTCTATTTCTTTACAATCAGTCAGACCCAACTCTGTTCTAGGTTCAGGCAATGTTGGGCCCCTATGTTATATCGTTCAAGCTTCACATATCCAGCTTTTGGCGTGTGGACTGTAGAGAAGAGGGTGGTTAGAGTCCTCATGGACTAACTTTTTGAGTTGAGTAAAGCCCACCGTTCAAATTCTTATCAGAAGACAAAAATAAAATACTGAAGAAGCAGTATCAAATTCACTTAGCTATGCATAACGTTCGTCCAATACACATCATGTGCACAGAAAAAGTAAATATCGTAGAAATCCCGGAAACCAACAGAGTTACCATAAAGATGTATTCACATGCAAAATAACTTATCCAACTATTTTTTTTGATGAAGAACTTAGCCAATTAACCATTAAAAGATAATCCTAACATCCCAAAAGCTAGAACAGAATCTAGCACATGCTTTTTACCCCTTTTTTCTTCTTCTTCCTTTTCTTTTTTGTTTTTGGTTTGGGTGTTTGTGTGTGTGTGTGGGGGGGGGGGGGGGGTCGGACGTAGTAGGTCTGGATACACAACTCTTGTATAATAGAAACTATAATACTA